TTTTCAAGGCAAGGTGTTTCGGAAGTGGTTTGCCATTGCCTCCTTCCTAGAGCAGAGCCCACCTGGCGAGCACAGGAGGCGGGGTTTCCATTGCTTTGCGCCTTTTTCGGGCGAGCGTGGCTTCCGCGCTACCGGCAACCGGTCCCGACTCCTTTTGCAAGGTGCCGCCAGCATTTTTCCTCCCACCGGAGTGAGAGTACCCATTTATCTGCTCATGTAAGTTTTCGAACTGTTGGGTTCACAGGAACTGGGGGAGGAAGCAGGAGCTCACTCTGCTATGCGAAGGCTGGGCTCGAACTGCTAAAGTGTCGACCATTTCTGGCCGGCAACTTTCAGCATCATTAAGCCGCTGCGCCACTGCATCCCCATCCAGTTAGACCAATAGTCACACCTAAATGTTTCAAAGCATTCAAGATATTTGCTCTGGAGCACCACTTGAAGACCATCAGCATTGACAAAATCACCATCAGTCAATTGCAAAAGGCAGCTTTACTTGGAACAGCTTACATCCTGCAACAATACTTTTAATATTATTAAATGACAACATCTGCCTATCCCAGGTCCTTGGGAAGGACTCGATAGGTGGACAAAAAGGCCAAATCCAGTCTAAACACCTGGCTGGCTGTGAGATCAACCATATTAAATTTATATGCTGCACGACTCCCAAAGACTTTGGGCAGCTTATAATCATTAAAACAAGAACAAAGAACAGTAGAAGAACACACATGCACACAAAACGGTCCAAGACAGAAGAACAACATTGGGAAAGAAGATAAACCCGGAAGGGAACAGAAAGAAAGAAAAGGGCATCACTCATCCTCTCCAAAGGCCTGGGTGAAGAGTCAGGTCTGTAAGGCCCTTTGAAACACTAGCAGGATGGGAGCCATTCGAATCTTGGGGGGATCTTCATTCCAGACAGAGAAGGGGCACTTCTGGGGCCCCAATAGGTGGCATTGTTTAATCCATGGAACCCAGAGTGTGCCAATCCTGCCAGATCAAACTGGTCAGGCAGATACTATGGAAGACAGGTAGTCCTTCAAGCCCTATGCCTTTTATATACTGCTTTTTGCACTCTTAAGATTATATGTTGTCCATTCCCATCATTAACCAACAAGAGCTGAGTTGAGCAACCTGCATTGGATGGGCTGCATGTGTATCACCTGCCTCCTTTTTTACAGCCTGCAGAGTATCTGAATGTATCAATGAAATTTGGAATGAAATTATGGAAATTTAGTGGTTTGTTTAATGGAGGGAATTGCAAATATAACAAGTGAAGAAAGTATTTTAAGTCCCTGCTTGGCTTAACTCCCAAATCCCAAGTAGGGGATAGAAAGTCTTGATACTGGTTACCATACTCTGTAATTGATCTTCCTCCAGAACTTCATTAGATTCCAAGCTAGGCTTTTATCTGCTAGCATATCAAAGCCTTCTTATTTTAAGATATATACATTTCAAGTCAGACCTGGCAGTTTTTAGTTTTACAAAGGAGTAATCACATGGAATGGATTGCTTTGAAGAAAGGAGTTAAATCATGTAATTCCCTGCAGCTATACATTTCACAGAGGGGAAAAATAAGCCACCATCGGCTTTATGGCTAGCAGCACATAGGTATTGGAATGGAATCTGACTTTCAAGTGCCATAGAGAGTGTACCTGGACCTCAGAAAAGCCTTCAAAACAATGTTAAAATAAAAGTAGATGATATCACTGCTAGATGGATTCACAGTTGGCTGAATGACCACATCCAAGGAGTGCTTATTAATGGCCCCACTTCAGCTTGGAGGAAATATGAAGTGGAAGACAACAGGGCTCTGTCCTGGGCCCTGGGCTCTTTATCATTGTTACAGTATCAGTGACTTGGTTCAGAGGACACTTATCAAGTCTGCAGATGACACAAAGCAAGGAAAGATAGCTATTAATTTTAGAGAGGAGAGAGCAATTCAAAAAGATCTAGATAGGCTTGAGTACTGGGCTAAAACAAGTAACACAGAATTTTAGAAAGAGAAATGTAAAGGTCTATTTCTGGGTAGGAAAAATGAAATGCACTATTGGGTAGACCTGGCTTGGCAGTAGTATATGTGAAAGAGATCAGGGTCATCTTGTTGGCCACAGGATAAACATGACTCAGCAGTTGAAAGAAAGAAAGAAAGAAAGAAAGAAAGAAAGAAAGAAAGAAAGAAAGAAAGAAAAGCAATTAGAGAAACAAATGTTATATTGGTGTGAATTAACAGAAACACAGAGTCCAGGTCCTGAGAAATAATTGTTCTACTCTAGTGAGTCCTGCTCAGACTTCCTTTGCAGAACTATGTCTGAGTATGCTTAGTTTACAGAAGAGACAACTGAGGGGAGACAGGAGAGCTATGAAGGGAGATATAAAGGGTTGTCACATAGAAGAGGAAGTGGTCACATTTTTCTGTTGCTCAGAGAGCAGGATAAGAACCATTGGCTTAAAACTACAAGTCAGTAGTTCAGGCTAGTCATCAGGAGGAACTTTTTACTATACAAGCTATCAGCCAGTGGAACAGGCTATCCCATGACATGGTGACTAATCCTTCAGTAGACATCCTCATACAGAGCTTCAATCACCATCTGCCAAGATGGTCTAGTGGTTTCTCACTGAACAGGATATTGGACAAATGATCTCTGAGGTCCCTTCCAACCACATGATTCTGTGATTATAGATAGGACTAATAATAATCACATCTACCCATCCATCAAGTTCAGGAGGAAAGGCTGTGCCCTCTGGAACATCATACTCCTGAGATCAGATTGGTCCCAACCTTACTGGCCTCCTGGAAGGATCTGGTAGTGGTGGGGTGCAGCCTGCAAAATGGCTGTACTGTTAGTGAGATTAATTGCTCTCTCCTGCAGATTATGGTTTTTTTTAATGGTTTTAATAGTTTCTTAAATTGTTTTAATGTTCTTCTGTTGTTAAGATTTTGGTTATTTTTATGTTGTTTTTTGTGTTTTTAACTGTGTAAGGCGCTCAGAGTCACATACGTGATTATATAAATTTATATGGCTATATAAATTGAATAAATAAATAAATAAGTAGCTTTACAGCTCTGAGGATTTTTCTCCCCTTTTCCCCATGATTTTGTGTGAAAAAATATTCTAGTTTCTGGTGAAGTCCCAGTATTGTGCATGTGTCTGTATCTTTTCCCTTGCAGAGAACAAAGACACCTCTTTAGCAAACATTACTCTTTGTCTCTCCCCAATTTCTTAGTCTACTTGTTAACCCATTTTTTGTCTTGTGCGGTCAGCCCTGCAAGCTAGTCCAGACAAGAACCCAATATCATGAGTTCCAACACTACCTTTATTGTAAGGTTACAGTAATGGAATCTTGCAAGTCTGAAAGCACATCTCTCCCTCCTTGCCTTTATTTTCCAGGGAACTAGGGAGGGTCTCTTCTTCCTTTTTTTTTTTATTATAAATTTTATTAAATTTCCAAAAGGTTAAAATACAAGTAGGTCAAAAAAAAAAGAAAGAAAGAAAAGAAAAGAAAGATCAGTAAAGAAAAGGCATAGAAAAAGAAAGGTAGCTTCCAGCTTTCCTTGGTACAGGTATAAATGTAAAGTATATTCACCTCTTACTCCAGTATTTAAAATTTTACATAGTAGAAAATAATGTTTAGTCTAACATTCCAAAAAATTCATAAAATCAGTCTATTTCAACAATACATGATTTGCACAAGATATGTCTATAGGTATAGGGAGGGTCCCTTCTGAGATGCTCTCCATACTCCCACTGCTTCTATGGGCTGAGATGTCTCTTATCTGACCATTGCCCTGGCTGGGGATCTTTCTCCTCCTGTCTCTCAAGGGCATTTCTATAGACCATTACACGTGCCTTCAGTTTCTTACTCTGATTTTTAAAAATTACATTGACAAAGTCCATGCAATCATATATGCAATCTGTAGATTTATTATCCCCTACCATATTCTAAATATTTTTATGCTTTCAGTTATAGATTTGTGGTTTTAATATCACACACCATATTCTAAATACTTACTTTGATATTTCCAATTATATTATTGTATGTAAATTTGTAGTTCTCTATATTTCATATTATAGGGTTTTTTATTGGTTGTAGTATTCTTTAGATTTTTAAAAATTGAAGTATTGAAAAAAATTGATGAGCTTAATTAACATTCCAGTTCATTACAGATTTAGTCATCTTGATTAAAAGCAACACTCTTTGATCTATGTGTTTGTTTCTTCAGTAATCTGAAGTCACAGACTATTAATATTGCACTTAAGCCTTCTTTAAACCCAACTGACATTAAAGGAGGAGTGCTCATTTATTCATCTTCATTGAACTACATACATGAATGGTAAAACCTGAGATAATTTTTGGGGTGGTGGGTGGGGGAGAGCAGTTTTGTTTTCTGAAAGGATTTGTGTGATGCCTTAACAG